TCATGTTTTATCAGCTTGACGTTTTCACTATATTTGGTGACATCATGATGACATCATCACCTTGCGCAGACTAGGTCGGATTTATGACGTTCGAGAGACTTTGTATGGGAGTAGATGGGGAAATAGCCGTAATTTGGATCTCCTTTTTATCATAGAAGTTGGATGTTTTTCTTCTATGTGGACCGTATTTCACCCTGCCGTTATCTCGAGAGCCAAATGTTCTGGTAAAAAGCTTGGTTTTGCAGAGAAACATGAAAGACATTGGGTTTTCCGTTTTAGCTTCCCTTAGGTTACAGGAACGCAAAATTGGGAGTACCTCAGTGTAATAGGTAGCCGAGTGGTAGGCGCGGTGAAATCAACAATAATTACTTTTATTCTACTTTCAGGTACACACCTGAAATATAATCGTTCGTGAAAGAAGAAGCGGCAAAATAAATAACTTTCTCTCCGGTGCTCACCTAGAGGCTGAATCCTTATTCTTCGAGTTAGCTTTCATTGCTATCCAATCTAATCTAATCTAATCTAATCTAATCTTCATCAAAACAGAAATGCGCAGCCGCTTTTATGCAGCAGACGACGTACGCTTACATACGGAGATACACTAAATATACATCAGGCAAGCTCCGTATTAGTTCCGTACTGCTTCCGTATTGATCGGGCAGGGATACTACACCCTCCCTTCCTACAGATAATCACGCCCTCGTGATTCTCAAAAATTAGTGAAGAGTTATGAACAACAGCGTCACCCGGAAGATGGCAAATTATATCGGAAATGATAACGTTTAGAGTAGACAGAAGAAATGAACTGATAACAAATCATAAAGTAGAAGCACACCAGGTTCACACGATCTCACGGGGTCAAAAGGGGAAAGAACTGTCCTCCAAATAGGACCTGAAAAACTACAGCACTCTTGCTGCACAACGCTGGCACAACCCGCCAGGAACATCGCAGTTCAAAAACCGAACTGAATACATTATAACTATAAGGGGCGTTGTCACACACATTGTCCCACGTTAGCTGGGTAAACCGTGGCTCACCATGATCAGACGCCTACCAAACTAAACTGGATTCACACACTCGCATAAAGGAAGACTGAAGAGAACAGAGAGACTGAAGGAAGACAGGAAAGAAAATGCCATACCTGGAATCAGCGTTAGTAACCCCGGCGGCGGCTGGAGCTATGGCGGAGGGCGAGCCAGGTTTTATCTTCATCTTGGTTGAGCCGGTCACTCAGAGCGGCTAGCTCGGCGTCAGACAAATAACCTCCCTCCTCGTCTTGAATCATGGTCTTCACATTGTCGATAGCATCGCTTTGCGTGACGTAAAGAGTGATGGTCTAGCCAGGAAGAGTGTTGACGAAAATCTGCATCCCACCACGGAGACGAAGTACCAAGTGAATAGTGGACTCCTGCTCAACGTTGTAGTCACTCAGGGTTCGGCCGTCTGCCAACGGCGTGCCGGCGAAAATCAAACGCTGCTGGTCTTGGGGAATACCCTCCTTGTCTTGGTCAGCAGCCTGCATGTCGTCCTCCTCATCAGCTTCGCCATCACCACCGGTAGTATACGTGTAGGTAGCGGGTCGCTTGGAATCGCCATCGGAGTCTCCAATGGATGCCGTGCGGAAAGAATGGTGATCCACGTTAGCACCATGACTGTGCTGCAGGCTAATAAGCATGGCCAGGCCCAGGAAAGCAAGAAACATGATTCTCATCTTGATTCGTCGCACGGAGCTGCAGCGGGTTGAGCCATGGGGTCTGGGGTCGAATCACGTTGTTTTATTTAAAACTACACCGCTGCCACCAATGTAATAGGTAGCCGAGTGGTAGGCGCGGTGAAATCAACAATAATTACTTTTATTCTACTTTCAGGTACACACCTGAAATATAATCGTTCGTGAAAGAAGAAGCGGCAAAATAAATAACTTTCTCTCCGGTGCTCACCTAGAGGCTGAATCCTTATTCTTCGAGTTAGCTTTCATTGCTATCCAATCTAATCTAATCTAATCTAATCTTCATCAAAACAGAAATGCGCAGCCGCTTTTATGCAGCAGACGACGTACGCTTACATACGGAGATACACTAAATATACATCAGGCAAGCTCCGTATTAGTTCCGTACTGCTTCCGTATTGATCGGGCAGGGATACTACATCAGTACAAATAAACATTTGCAATAGGACTGATCTGTGCAAGATCAAGGATTAAGATCGAAATTTGTGGTTTGCGTTTGTTGCACAGGTATATGATTGAATGATGTGGGAATTTAATTTAATAGAAAGAACCAGAATGTTCCATGTTATCCATTTTTGAGGGTACCGTATTATCTCTAATATAAGCACAGTCTCCAATAATAGCAAGTCTCCAATAATAGAGAACCTTGGGGCGGCATTCAAAAAATAAAGTGCTCAGTCTCCATTATAAGCACATTGTGTAAATTCATTATCTGTACCGGCGAAAAAAACCCTGAAATGTGTGTGTCATACATGAATTTGGCATGGCAACATGCCTCTGAAATGAGGTTGAAATAATAATGGAACAGTCTCCAATAAAGGAACGTCTCCATTAATAGCACGGGGCGGAGGTGCATTGAAAAAATAAAGGACCGTGCTTACATTAGAGATAATACGGGTATGTAAGTTTCAAGATTCCCCTAAGAAACTTTTTCATAGGCTTGCACAGTCGATTAAAACCTCCAAAGGGAACCTTTATGTAAATTTGGAGCGAAATCGAAGAGATCGAGTTGCACACACACACTTTGGTATACTCAGCTGTGCTCTCTGAAATACGTGTCTCCTTGACACCTTTCTATGTTTTGTTTCTCTACATTATTATAAAACTGGTGGTGCTAGTGGACAAAATAATGTTACTTGGTCCTGTTCTTTTCTATATGTGTCATCTTTGAATTATGAAGTTGAGGACACCACTGCAGCTGTACTTATGGTTGATAAATATGGTGGTAAGGACACAGCTGGCAATACGGCGGTAAATACACGCCTGCCCACACATGCTCTCTAGGCTGAAACATGTTCTGGCACAGAGCTCTCCTTCTCATCACCACCACCATCAGTTCGCGCATGGCGCCTAGTCAATGCATGGTTGGCGGTATCCGACATAGCAGGCTGGTACATCAAGTAGCGCATGGCACATAGAAGGTTACACGGCAACGACATAGCTCGATCGCGACGTATGTTTCGTCTCCGCTGGACCCATCAGGCTATCTTCTTCTTGGATGTCTTCATATGGAGCTTGACTCAGGAGAATGAAGTTGAAGACCCACTGCAGCTGTACTTATGGTTGACAAATATGGGGGTAAAGACACACCAGACAATATGGCGGTAAATACACGCCTGCCCACACACGCTCTCTATGCTGCAAAGCTCTGGCACAGAGCTCTCCTTCTCACCACCCTCCGCTATCAGTTCCCGCCTGGCGTCTATTCGATGCATGGTTGGCGGTAACCGACATAGCAGGCTGGTACATCAAGTACAAAACTAAATCAGACTTTACACGGATCAGAATATACCAATCACAATATGCAACATCACAACAAGACCAGTGGCAATACGTGAGCAAACTCTCCCTTGACGATAATATCAAAGGTGATAACGATAATAGGAGGACAACTGTGCCAGTTGTAGTGGATACTGTTACACTGTTCATGGCTATTGAGTAGTTTCTTGCAACTTCTAATTATATGTGAGCGCTAAAACATGACCACAGCTTTTTTTGAAAAAGTCGAGATAATCGCGATTTGAATTCCGCGGCAAAAAAATACGAAGCTCGAAGTGCAGCGCAACGCGAGTCGCTGTTGTTGTTCTCCTCGGTCGACTGGATCTGTTCCGGATGCAATTCTTTGTTGCAAGTAAGTTTATTTGTTAGAGTTTGTATTCCATGTTGCGCTGAGTCGCCTAAAACTGATCGTCATCGATGTATCGACAGAAGAGCCTAGTAGTAGTAATGTACTGCGGAGCGGAAGAAGACGACATCACCGCACTCCATGCGCAGGATAAAATATTTTGAGGATTCGAGTCGGAAACAGAAGGAAGACGATGATGGCTACAGCGACGAGTCATTTGAGGGCGACACTTTCATCGAGCGTAAAAAGAATTGATGCTGGTAGTCCCACGATCTGCAGTGACGAGGAATTCCACTCTGATGACAACCTGGCAAGCGATTGGCATCGACACTGACTTGGGAGGTGAGTCGGCCGATGATTTGGCCAGAATGGACATCGCTGCACATATCCGGGACAATGCCAGTTTTGGTTGCAAGTGCAAAAACAATCACTGGACTCTGCTGCTACCTCAACTTGCTCAAGTCGATAATTTGAGTACCCTTAATGGGCCTTATGCGGAACATCGCTAGCATGAGCAGTATGCAGCGAAAGCATTACTCTCTGGCGAGCGGAGAAAACCGTGTGCAGATGGGCTTTGGTGAGGGGAATATGAGTGCGACGTCTAGTATGTTGAGGAACACTGTGTGCAGCAGTGTAATAATAATAAAATTTAAACTATACTGTATATCTGAAAGTACAGGTGGAGTGTGATGGAGAGGACATGGAGTGCCAACTTCTTCGGCCATCTACAGATGTTGACCGTGTTTTCGCTGGCGGTTCTTCAGTGGTGCTCCAAACAGGAGGTATTTCGGACACCCAGCTCAGCTGCCTATAGACAATTTGGATGTGGCTGAGTACCTGTCAGCTCATGCTATAAGACCCTGGACAGAGGAACTGACTCGGAAAGGATGAACCAAGTGGGCATATCAATTGTGTGCAAAAATGACAATCCCATTGCTGTACATAGAATTTCACCATTTCAACAGTGCTGCATATAATACCATTGTAGCAACACTTAGACATGTCGGATCAATCCAAAACTTTCAGACAGTGAACATTAGGTGTGTCAGATCATTTTTGAACAAAAATCTGAAAATCGAATTTTTGGTCTGTGGTCATACTATTTTGGCGTGCTCTGGCTCATGTTGTGTCCTGCATATGCACAGATATCTTGAGCACTCATTTCCACAAAACCTTCGCTTGTGCGCTATCAAGTACCCTAAGGATTTTTCAAAGTCCGAGAACAGAATAGATGCAGGTAGTGTATGGAGTTATATTGCTTCAAGTAAGTAACCCGTTTATACCACATCACACATTCCAGGGCTTCCCGGTGGCCAATAAGAGATAATAGAGAGGTTTCAACCCGCGTGATTTGTGCTCTTACGTGAACGTCAATTTTTTGCGTTGACGCGAGCTCAGAAAGAGCTTTCGCTTCACATTGCTTGTGAAGCAAGCTGATGACAGGAGCGAAAACTGGGAGAGAAAACTTCAAAAAGTGAAAAAGTGATTTTGGTGAGGCCAAAGTCGCACAAATATTATTTTAGCTAGTTTAGGAAAAATCGAGTCAATAATCCCAACCTGATAGCAAGGCTAAATTTGCAAAACTCGCGTTCACGTCGAATGTGAGTTGACCTCATCTCACGTCATGAACGGGAGTTTCAACGCCAAAATTTGCCACACTGACGTGAAATTTCACGGTGTAGTGCAGAACAACGTGAAACGAAACCTCTCTAATAGTATGAGGAAGGAGAAAGAGTGAGGAAGAATTGGGTGGGGTTATCTGGGATTTGGAGAGAGTATGAGAAGAGATTTAACGAAGCTGGATGGGCAAGCAATTAAATAACGAAGGGCTTTGTACAGGGGAGAATGGAGACAGCGATCAGTCCGCGGAGTTGGCAAATGCCAAGTACGAGAGCGACGTAAATCACGCAAAGGTTGCACTCTGCAGGCAGGATGCAGCGAGAGTATATGTGGTGGGGCATAATTGTGGCGCAGAGAATGTGCGAAGACTTTAAAGCATGAAAATAGTGTTGGCCATTTGATGCAATGCAAAAGGTGGGAGTGTTCTAAGTGTGTGTAAAGGGTGGAGACATATTCTGGCGGCTTTCTGCTGGAGTCTTTCTAGGCTGTCAAGGGAAGTGTGTGACAACGGTGTGAGAGAATTGCTCGCATATGAGAATATACTGTATAGCAGGAAATTTTCAGACGGAAATATTTTCGGACAAAGCCGAATTTCGACCTTTCGTCCGGATTTTATTTTCGTACAGTGCTGCATGCTAAATGCACGTGTTCGCAAGCAGTATGCATGTGTAGTGTGCATGATTTCACAGGAACAAATTTTAGTACGGAATTAATTTTAGTACAAAAGAGGCCGTGTACGAAATCGTTCGAAAATAAATTCCATCCGAAATTTTCCTGCTATACAGTAGGTAGTATGTATGTCTGATATATGTGAGATAAAGAATCACTGAAATTGTCAGAGGGGTGCAATGCGCCTGACCAGCACAGCTCTTGTAGCACATAAGACTCCTTTGTTGTCTTTGTCTTTTGTCTTTGTCTCTTTTATTACCCCTATTACTTTATACGGATGTGCACATAGTATATATTTTGTTCAAAAAGGTCGTTACAGTGTACTTGATAAATGTTAGCTTGCCTTCATCGCCTGCCACCTGGAGGCATGGATCGCTTGAAAACGAAGTTTCTCGACCCGAATTTGAACGCGCGTCTTGTTCAGAGTATTGTTGAGTGCTGAAAGGTCTCCCACAAACTCTGATGAACTAACTGATTTCTTTGGCCTTCCAGGGGACAAAATAAATTCGAAAAACCGCAATTCTAATGACGCGGAGGAAGTAATATGTATGTCTGATAGATGTGAGATAAAAAATCACTGGAGAGTGTAGACCTTAGGGCCTTTTCACACTAGGTAAAAGAACATGAGTGCACGCGACATCATGTACCAGGTTTGTTTGGGCTGCTTTTCACACTGCTTGACTTTGAGAACGTCATGAAACATTTTCACGGGATTCCCCATGGCGACAGCCTACATCACTGACGGCGGGAAAAGTTTGAAGTTACATCCGCACAAGAATTTCAAGAAATTTTGGACTCATGATCGCTCGAGAAGGTGAAGGAGAAACAAAAAATCCCTTTCTCACTTCTTTGTTGAAGAATGCCTCCTGTTCGTGATGATAGGCGGCGAAGAAGACTTTTGGCGTTGATCTCACGGACGAACAGGTGATGCAGGAACAGACGGCACCTGCGTTGAGCTCAATGAGCTAATGGGCCCATAGCCTGGTACGTCCGAAAACGTTTTGTGCCACAGCTTGAAGTTGCCCCACTTGGCACCTGCAGCTGCGAGATCTAAATTGCCTGCATTGCCACCACAACCATCACCTACAGCTGCTCCGGTTTAGGTTGAAGCTGTGTACTTCTTGTAGAAATCTCTCGCCTTCGACTTGAGGTCGATTTTATTGCTGACAACCTTGAGCGAGAACTCATGCTCGTTCTTCTCCCCATATAGTTGCACAGCATACTTGTTGAGAGCCTGCACCACCTCCATTTCCCTTACTTTTCTTTTGATCATCTGACCGCCTTTCTTCCGCTGTTGCTCGCCCCACAGCTCGATCAATTTTTTTCTAACTCCTCGTTGAAGTGAACCAAGGGCATTGTCCAGGAGAGTTGAGGAAACGCTCGACCAACACGACGGCCACAACAAAAAACTCTTCACGAATGTGAAAACGGAAGAATGGCACTTTCTACAGGGGTCCTCGCTTGTCGTAAAAGGCACGTGCGCCGTTTTCATTTTAGCGCCATTTTCCACCCATTGTCATGACGATTTTCATGAAAATGTCACTTATACGGCGTTTTTTACCTAGTGTGAAAAGGCCCTAAGTCTAAAAAGAATATTGAAAGACTTGAGTGATTTTTTGACCATGTATTCAACATGCTCCGTCCAACGGAGGTCATGCTGAAAGATTATTCCGAGGTGTTTGTGTCTTTGTGCTACGGTAAGCGGGCTATTCCTGAGGGTGATCTGGGGTAGCTGTTCAGGGGGACGATTATTATGGTAGAACGGGAGGTTGACTGTTTTCTTCGTGTTAACTACTTCCTCCGGAAACAAAAACTTCGTGATTTTTTTCACTACTTTTTGCTGCTGTTATTTCGCTCTCTCTCTCTGCTTCTGTCATCCAGAAACACTGACATGACGGTTCAGAATCGTAGGAAAATATGACTCATATTTTGGAGAGCTGACAGTCGTCGCAGAGCAAGGGTGTCGACGCTGCAAACAAAGCCAAGGGAACATGTTTTTCATCGTTCGTCCATCAGGCGCAATGGGGAGAAACGCACTGCGTACGCTGCTCGTCGTAGCTATTTTTTAGTTCAGAACTTGACAGAGCAGCACAATGTCACTGAGGAGCAAGAAGAGTGGAACATGAATCGCAATAGCAGCTAGCGTTTTGAAATCTTCACCATCCCTGCATGCGAACAGTTCGGCGCGGTGTCAAAACTCCAAAACGCAGAGGTGTGACAATCGTCCCTTCCCGCAGCAGAGGAAGATGAACAAATTCAAAATAGAAGTCGTTCAGTCCCTGTAGAACCCATACCTCAACGTGGATGATATCGCCTTTTCCAGCAGCCTCGACGATGTGTCGAGATCTGATCGCGGCAGTCGGGAAGTGCTGGTACGACTATGATATCCCTTGGAGGACATTTGAAATGTTTGGAGTTGCCTGTGTGTGTTGTTCCGGGGCCCCTCCTCGGGCGAGAAGGGAGGCGGCGATGAGTACCAGCGCTGCAGCGCTGCCGTGGTCTCCGCCGAGATGTTGGAGAAGGCACTCAGGTAACAGCGAAGATGATCAGGGACACAGAGAAGCTTCTCCGTGACATACGACATCGCGTCGATCGACCTGCCACTTGGAATGATTTCAGCGGTGGTGAGCCGAGTGATGGCGACCCAGTCTGAGACGCTACTCCCACTAATCGATCCTGTAGATATTGTTAATATTATGTCGATTGACTGTTTTGAAGTGTTTCTCTTCCAAAAGAACACTTTTGTTGGGCACAGTAACTCCTTGAAAAGTCATGTCAAAAGTCACGAAGTTTTTGTTTCCGGAGGAAGTAGCAGGTGCCATCTTTGAAGCCAGTCTCCAGCTGCTTTGACACTCTGTTGTAAAGTTTCGGGTGCAGTCTTGAAGAGTTCTCGGTGTGGAAATCAGAGCGGTGTCATCTGCAAATTGGCTGCAGGTGGTGCCGGGATTCTCACATGCGTGTGGAAGGTCTATGGTGTAGACGAGGAATAGAAGCTTCCCAAGTTGTTGTTTCAAATCCTTATTCTCACGACCGCCAGTGGCAAATAGCAGGTAATAGTGTAAGAGAGGGAAAAGAGTGAGGAAGAATTAAGTGGGCAGGGCCTAGGGATTAATGACTACTTAACCTCTCTCTCTCTCCCTCTCTCCCGATCTCGCTCTCTCTCTCTCTCTCTCTCTCTCTCTCTCTCTCTCTCCCTCTCTCTCTGTCATCTCTCTGTCATCTCTCTGTCTCTCTCTGTCTCTCTGTCTCTGTCTCTCTCTTTGTCTTTCGGTCTCTCTGTCTCTCTGTCTCTCTGTCTCTCCCTCTCTCTCTCCTCTCCTTCTCCCCCCCCCTCATCTACCGATAATTATTAGCTCCCCGTTTTCTTTCGATGAGTTTGCTGTGCAGGGAAGCCGAGACCCTAGGTTGGTTGAGCACATCAGACCCCGTCCCCACGTCCACGATTCATGCCTGCGATGCTGCACTGCTGCTTTGCATGTCATGATTGGAAGCTGTGGACTTAGTAAAACAAAGAGAAAGAAAAAAAGCTGGGGTGGTCGCTACACGAGCATACAGACTTGTGCAACAGCAGGGATATCTATGATTTGAAGAGAGTACGAGAAGGGATTTCGCAAAGCTGGGTGGGCAAGCAATTAAAGTAATGAAGGGTCTTGTTCAGGGGAGTCTGGAGACAGCTATCAGTCCGCGGAATTGGCAAGTACCAAATACAAGAGCGACGTAAATTATACGAGGGTTGCACGCTGCTAGCAGTATGCAGCGAGAGTATATGTGGTGGGGCATAATTGTGGAGCAGAGAATGTGCGAAGAGTATATGTTTAACATTAAAGGGTGAAAATAATGTTGGCCATTTGATGCGATGCAAAAGGTGGGAGTGTTCTTAGCGTGTGTAAGGGGAAGGTGGAGACATATTCTGGCGGCTTTCCGCTGGAGTCGTTCTAGCCTGTCAAGGGAAATATGTGACAACAGTTTGACAGCATTGCTCGTGTTGAATACGAGAAAGGACGACTGACGACATATTATCCAGACATTACAACGGGAACGGGTAGGTTGGTGGAACGACATTTATTGGAGACAGGACAAGAGACCAATACGAGCGAAACGACTACATGGTGATTATTGACGAGTGAGAAAAGAGAGAATGAGATCAAGTCTGAACGGCAAGATAAAGGGCCTGGGTAGCTATGGCAAATATGGGCGCGCAAGTAGCTACCCAGGCAAACGGAACAAAAGGAGACAAAAGGTCAGTACGCAAGTGCATGGAGGCCAGCTAGAAAAGGTACGGGAGGAGGTACCTAACATACCACTCCTCCATGAAAAAAAATCACGCGTCTTCGCGGAGAGAAAAAAAGAGAGAAAAAGATTTAAAAAAATGAGTGACGGAGACAAAACACACACATGTTGCACGCGCGCACGGATCTCACAAAAGTGTGTACTAAAAATGCACTACAGATCATTCCTGTACTAGTTTTAGTGTGTAATAACTATTGGAGTTTGACGAGGAAGGTGAATTACTAGTATTTTGCACGGCTAATACAGCCTAGTTGCACTTTTGCTAAGCATCCAAAAATTAGAGCGTGGCTCACCATGATCGGACCACTAACTTGGTAATGTTTTATGAATACACGCGCGCACACACTACAAAAATTCACGAAAGTACATTTGACGAAGAAGGAACGCATACAAAAAAAAAGAAAGGTAGCTGACCTGCATGGCTTGAACGAGACTAGACGAGGTTGGTGTAGGAGAGACGAGGTTGATAGAGACGAGACGAGGTTGGCGTAGGAAAGACGAGACTGACATGGACGAGACGAGGTTGACATAGACGAGACAAATGGCGGTTGAGGACGGCTGGGCATGGGATGATCTCAGGGTCGTGGGTCGATCAATAATCGGGCGCCAATGTTGAATACGAGAAAGGGCGACTGACGACATTTTATCCAGACATTACAACGGGAACAGGTAGGTTGGTGGAACGACATTTATTAGAGACGGGACAAGAGACCAAGACGAACGAAACCACTACATGGTGATTATTGACGAGTGAGAAAAGAGAGAATGAGATCAAGTCTGAACGGCAAGATAAAGGGCCTGGGTAGCTATGGCAAATATGGACGCGCAAGTAGCTACCCAGGCCAACGTAACAAAAGGAGACAAAAGGTGAGTTCGCAAGTACATGCAGGCCAGCTAGAAAAGGTACGGGAGGAGGTACCTAACACTCGCATAATGGGGAAATATAGGTACTTTCTCCGCGTCATGAAAATTGTAGCTTCGCAGATCGCAATATTTGTGACTTGGCTCGTCTTGGTAAGACTTTCTGAATCGCTGTTTTCTGTGTTGGAACATTGGTGCGACCCTTCCTGCGCAATATTTACTTGTAACTGAAGCCGTGGTGTTCTCGGACTTTGTCGGAGCTCTCTTCCGCACCAAGCAAATTCATCGTGTTCCGCACTATTCCGCCCCAGAGCGCACATCGTTTTTCTGGAGTTCGTGCCGTCCCCACATCGTTCGCGTGGGCATTTATCAAGACTTCAAGCTCGGGTATAAGAATACTGGTATCTCTCCTGAATACGAAATGCTGAAGTTGACGATGGCAAAAACAAAATGTTCTCAATTTCCTAAAATGCGCTACTTGTTGCGCATGTTGCTGCGAAGGTAGCAGGTCTAAAAACACCAACAGAATCAGTGCGAAAGGTGCGGAACTGCTTACCCTATGCCGCTGGAAGGAGGGAAATTATTGCAGTGGCTCCTGAATTACCTCTCGAATCGCCAGCTCAAAGTGGTTATACACGGGCAAGCATCAACACCGCTTGCAATCACAGGTGGTGTGCCACAAGGTAGCATACTTGGCCCCACGCTCTTCCTGCTTAACGTCTGTGACATCGACCAGTGCCTAACACCAGGCACTAAGCTGAGCACGTACGCCGATGATACTGCAATGTACCATCTCGTGCTACCAACTGATGACCCTGCAAACCCCGGACACAGGCTCCAGGGGGCCCTCGACCGCCTCTACCTGTGGGGAGAATCGTGGCGCATCCGCTTCTAGCCACAGAAATCACAGCAATTGGTGATCAGCACAAGATCAGAAACCCCAGCGCTGGACCCTGTAACGTTTGGAGGTACCCCAGTTGCAAAGACTGAGACTCCTGGGAGTCTCATTTGATGCCAAGCTGTCATTCCGCAACCACCTTCACAATGTCGCAGTCCGTGCAAGCTAACGGATGGGCTTTCTCTTGCTAGCTGCCCACGTCCTGCCTCGGGGCAGCCGCCTGGCAATGTACAAAGATTTCGTATGCCCAGTCCTGGAGTATGCCCCAATGGTCTGGATGGGCGCCTTCCAGACCCATCTCGATAACCTAGATTGAGTCCAGAGGAGGGCTTTGGACATCATCGGCACAGGCACCCTCCTGGATTCCTTCTGTCTACGCCGCTCGGTTGCTGGCCTCACGTACCTGTACAAGCTACGCTCCACTGATGGCCCAGCGCAACTCACCGCAATGATTCCATCTCCGGAACCGCCACGGCCTCACCCAGCCATTGGAGCGTTATCTTGACCTGTTCGAGGACATCTGTTCCAAGAACGAGTTCGAAGAGAGCGAATGTTTGCTGCGACTGCGCATCGCGCTAGCGGGTAGCAAAGCGGAGAGGATATGTACTGGATGCAATAATTACGAGGAAGCAAAGCGAGAGTTGCTTGCCTCGCTCGGAAAGACTCCGGATAAAGCGTGGAAGACATTGCTCCAAGACTAGACGGCAGCTCGACGCCAGCCGCCACCCTGCTTACCTGAAGCTTGACCTCCCACACAGTGCCCCTAACTACATCCACTGGTCATTTCCATTCTGCCACGTGGAAGTGTGGAACAGCCTCCCAGCAGAGATGCTCGCCAATCTCCAGGTTAAGAAAATGCAGGCGTTCAAAGTAAATGTTCACAAGCCCACAAGCACTGGCTTTGGGCAACGGACAACAACTAGCGCCACTGATAATCATCTCTCTCTCTTCTCTCTCTCTCTCTCCCTCTCTCTCTCTCTCTCTCTCTCTCTCTCTCCCATTCTCTCTCTCTCTCTCTCTCTCACAGTGTCACAGCAGCTAGAGACTGGCTTCAAAGATGGCACCTGCTGGTTAACACGAAGAAAACAGTCATCCTCCTGTTCTACCAAAATAACCGCCCCCCTGAACAGCTACCCCAAATCACCCTCAGGAGCAGTCCGCTTACCGTAGCACAACAAACACAAACATCTCGGAATAATCTTTCAGTTCGACCTCCGTTGGACGGAGCATGTTGAATACATAGTCCAAAATCACTCAAGTCTTTCAATATTCTTTTTTAGACTAAGATATACACTCACCAGTAATTCTTTTTCTTGCATCTATCAGGCATACATACTACCTACATTCTCATATGCGAGCAATGCTCTCACACCGTTGTCACACACTTCCCTTGACAGGCTAGAACGACTCCAGCGGAAAGCCACCAGAATATGTCTCCGCCTTCCCCTTTACACACACTTAGAACACTCCCACCTTTTGCATCGCATCAAATGGCCAACACTATTTTCAAGCTTTAAAGTTAAATATATACTCTTCGCACATTCTCTGCACCACAATTAGGCCCCACCACATATACTCTCGCTGCATACTGCTAGCAGCGGGCAATCTTCGTATAATTTACGTCCCTCTCGTTCTTGGCACTTGCCAATTCCGCGGACGGATTGCTGTTTCCATTCTCCCCTGTACAAGGCCCTTAATCACTTGAATTGCCTGCCCACTCAGCTTTGCGAAATCCCTTCTCGTACTCTCTTCAAATCATAGATATCCCTGCTGTCGACGGCGACGACGACGACAACAACAACAACAACAAGCTCGATCGTGTCCGAGCAAGCGACCCACGAACAAACCACCAACAAATGACCGGAGGACCAATTCGGCTGCACTCCCTGCATCACAGCGGAGCTCGGGTACAAGTGTGCCCGATGCAGGAGGTAGTGAAGCTGGCGTGAGTGCTAGTTCAGGTAGTAGTTGTACAAACACGGAACCCAGCGCGCGGAGCTCGAGAGCTCAAATCCATCCAACAGCTCAGCACGCACGCGCACAGAGCCCAAAGGTTCACACTCGTACGCCAGCGCAGCTCAACAGGGAGCCCGTGCACAGTTTAAAGGGGAAGTTAAGGCAAAAATTAAAATTTCACCAGTTGTAGTCTTCGGGGTGCTGAGTCGAATGGTCGTGGTCCGAGGAAGCTGAGACGCTCCCTTCCTACTTGAATCCCAATCGAACTCGCGCACTTCCACCGAAACTGGGTGACTGCGCCCTACGAGATGGGGATTTGTATGCAAAATGTCACTAAAAGCGCCATTTCGTTCTTATAAAAGCACGGATGACCGCGATTGGCCCATATGTTGTAGTCTTTGGGACGCTGAGTCGACTGGTTTTGGTCCGAAAAGGCTGCGATGCGGCGTTCCTCCTTTATTCCCAATCGAACATGGTTGAAGAAGCGGTCACGTGCTCCTGCGTACACCAGTCACCTGGTCACCGTGCCTGCAGGGTACAACTTACTAGCCTGTTTGACCTTTTTTGGGTGCAGTCCTGTCACTCGAGTTGAACCCGAGTTGAACCTTGGTGTGAAAGTTGTCACCTGCTGGCGTGGTGACCAGGTGATTTGGGCACCCAGGACCACGTGACCGCTTCTTCAACCATGTTCGATTGGGAATAAAGGAGGAACGCCGCATCGCAGCCTTTTCGGACCAAAACCAGTCGACTCAGCGTCCCAAAGACTACAACATATGGGCCAATCGCGGTCATCCGTGCTTTTATAAGAACGAAATGGCGCTTTTAGTGACATTTTGCATACAAATCCCCATCTCGTAGGGCGCAGTCACCTAGTTTCGGTGGAAGTGCGCGAGTTCGATTGGGATTCAAGTAGGAAGGGAGCGTCTCAGCTTCCTCGGACCAAGACCATTCGACTCAGCACCCCGAAGACTACAACTGGTGAAATTTTAATTTTTGCCTTAACTTCCCCTTTAACTGTACGCACGGAGCGGCCGAACAGGTGAGCACTGCAACGGACAGGTCTCCTGCTACTACATGTAGTACTAGTGAAGGACGCAACAAAGAAAACTGCGGAAATGAACAGCGCCAGTGCATCCGAGAACACAACCAGCGACGGGGAATCCAAGGAAATACCCCATCCTCTGCCGGCCAAACTTAGGTGGCTGAGAGTTCCAGCTTGCAGGTAATCGCTCCCAGTACACCCCCAATGTCCGGCACCCCTCGGCTCACATGGGAGCGGGCCACGGCGACGGGGCCACCTACGCCTCTGACGATGCGGATTGAATACCCTACGGCCTCGTCGTCGCCGACACAGCCACAACCATTCGACCATGGAGGAGAGAGCCAAGGCCGGTGAGACATGTAAACAACTCAACAGCCTCCTCTACTTCCCTACACCGCCTCATGAAGCACCTAATTACAGCTACAAAACAACGCATACCCGAACTCGTCAGCCAAGCAACTCCTGCAATGACACCAGCACAAAAAGCCGCTGCCCTCAACGAATTCTTCATTTCACAGAGCAAGCCGCAGGCGCGTGCACCGTATGAGTTTTTTTGGTGTCTGGAAACCACCTTTTTTCGGGCAATCTTGCCAAAGGAAAAGCGAGCCTACTGGATTGGTTATCGTGCATACGCGTCGATCGACGGACAGTTTACAGTACAATGACTATGTCCTTATTTCGAAGTGAGAGAGAGTTGCTTTTCGTGCAGTTCAAAATACATTATTCTCTCTTTTTTCAGTGGATAGTAGCAACAGAGAGATCGATCTCTAGCTCTGGTCCGCTCCTGGATTGGCGATGACGTTGAAGAAATCCGTTTTGTCTCGAAATTTGAGCCAAGCACGCGCGATGCAAGTCAGTTCAAGGATGTGATCGACGATATCTCCTTCCAAACTGTTGACTCAAATCAAGATCTCCACAGCCTTTCGTTCTCGCTCATGTGCGCAGTAGAGATGTTCGTCAAAAATGTTGTCGACTGGAAGACGTAAATATGTGCGTCCATGATCCACTTGCGCTGCTTCAGAACGAAGCGCTGCTCCGGCCGCGACTCAAGGACCCGGGGCTTCGCTTTTCTTCCGCGAGTTTCCATCGAAGCAAGGTCCATAACTCTTTATTGAAATCATGTGGAACATTGCCAATACATACTGAAAACTTCGTCGTACGGTAAGAACAGAAAGAAAGATACGTCGAATGTAAGCAGTGTTTTGATGAAACGAACATGCCTGGAGTGGACTAGTGATTTATTAATTTATAAACTGTAGTGTATCCCGGGCAGCTAGGCCTATCAAACTTTTACGTGTTCAATATGACAAACATGAAAAAAAATATAATAATATTTGAACACACAACGAGGACATATGGATACGAGTTAAGAGTAACTCTCCATCACTGTAACATGATACTATATACAGTCAGAAAGTGCAATAACTAGGCACAAAACTGACAGAGTACTGAGACATTCGACGTCCTGACACCTAACTTCAACACATCTCCGTAGCGCTAACCGACAGCCTTCCAACTTGGAAGGTTCAAGGTTATGGAAAGACCAAAGAGGGGAAGGCAAGCGCAACGAAAACGAGCAAAAGCCACAGTCCCAACGGAACAAAGAATGTCGATTGTTACTGGACGATGACGAGACCAGTACGATATTTGACAAAGCGGTCTAACTACAATTCGAAGCAGCAAAGCAGCACACCGTGTTGAAGTTAGGTGTCAGGACGTCGAATGTCTCAGTACTCTGTCAGTTGTGTGCCTAGTTATTGCACTTTCTGACTGTATATAGTATCATGTTACAGTGATGGAGAGTTACTCTTAACTCGTATCCATATGTCCTTTTCTCTTTTACATTTATTTATGGCTCAACATCCGAGTTTCAAATTACACAACGAGGAGACAATAATTTAATAACCGCAATCAATAGAACTAGCTGAACCGACATTTCAGAACTAAATATTGCGACAGAGCTTTCGGCCATATTTTCAATTCACTCCCAACTCATCAC